ATTACAAGCCATTGTACTCTCGAAACCGTCCTCTCCCGTTCGATACAGCGAGCTCGTCTGGTCTATTCAACGTTGATCCAGTTTCCGGGATCGGAGAACGTGTTCTTTGACGCCATCGTCGGGAGACGCAAATCGTTTAGATCGTTCAATGGTCGACCGGGATCGCAGTTCCTTTTCAAAGCCCACCTCCGGTTTAAGAAACATCAATCAGAACCAAAGTTTCGGTACTCTCCGGTTGCTCTCCTCGGACTATCGAACGTTGGCCCATTCATCAAAGAGGCAGCAACGGCACACCGAGACGGAACAGTTACCCCCCGGCAAGCGTCCAATTACTTTCTCGTCCGGGGACGTTCCACGCGTCATTACGCAGCGTCTCCGGTCCTGCGTTCATTTCCAGCCCCTCTCGCGATCCTCTTCACCACGCTTCTCCCTCGCGCTTTTCTCTCTTCCATCTGCCCTCTATCCTGTCGCTCCGCCATTACGCGTCCCTTACGAGCGAGCAGGTGCCGCGAAGCACTCGACGAGAAAGTCGCACACAGCCTAGCCAGCAGGAGAGAAGATACCTTGCGAGTTGGCGCGCGAGGAATAAGAATCCTCGGCTACGCTTTGCCTCTCGAATAAATCCGAGAACGCTCGGCAAACGAGCCACGGGGACGGATGGCATTCGTGCCTGGTCGGACCACCACAGCTCGGTGGAACTAAAACTCGTCGAGCGAAAGGGTTACGCTCGGAGAAGAATAAGAACGGGAACAACAGGGCAATAAAGCGGACGAGGCGAGGCTGCGGTATGGGGTGGCGGTTGAACAAAGAGGGTAGAGTAAACGTAGGAAGACAGCCAAAGGGAGGGAAAAAGAGGGGGCGAGGCGAGCGAAAAACCAGAGGACAAAGCGACGGAGGAAGAACGGGAAGATCAGAGGGGGGCGAAGGGGTGAAAAGGAAAGGAGAACGAGTCGGGTGTCGGGCTAACTTGACGACGGAGCTGCACTATGTTATCCCTCAGCCGTAACCGAAGAAGAAGCGGAGGAACAGGGGCGTGCCTCGTACCTCCTTACAAACTGTCGAAACTTTGACTACCACCCTACCACCCTTCCGACTACTGGCTTTACGTGGTAGCCTGCTCGCCTGGCCTCGCACTCGTGCACACACACACATACACACGGACACACGCGCGCGTACCTTTGGCTACGGGCACCGTTGCTGCCTTCCTAGACCGTAAAGTACGTGTCTGCGTGTGCGTGTCTCCTACCATTTTGGAGAACATACGATATTCTCGAACGTCGCCAGAGAGAGAGAGAGAAGTCCTCGCACGAGCAATCGAAGGACGAGTCCCGTAGTGCCGTTTAATATCGCGTGGCGGCAGAGTTCGCTCATCAACGGAAGAAACCGAAGGGCGAAGAAGAAGAGGGTTGCCACAGCTGGTGACCCGAGGACGCGTGATTAAATACGACTTTGCGCCACTTCTTCTTTGACCGGGTAAAATTAACGAGGGTATGCGAACCCAAAGTAGCTGTGCTAATTATACGAAAAAACCGTGTTTCCTCGTCCATAATTCGAGACGCGAAGAAACAGAGGGAGAAAGTCGGAGAAAAAGTCTTTCCCTGGAAAAGCTCGCGAGGAGAGACGTAGAGAAGGTATAATTGCAGGGCGAAGGTGGAAACGCGGCTCGCGAGCGAGTACACCGAAATGTCTCCGGGGCCCGATAAATTCGGCGAAATTTCCACGACGTTTATGTCCAACCTAAGACCCCCGGAATCGTTACGATCGTACAGTTAGTGCCCTACGCGTCTGGTACGCGAGAGAGGCACAAGGGTGAAGGGATGGGAGCCAGGGATGGCGGAGAGCATCGCTAACATCGACTACATCAGTAGCTGTGTATGCCGTTTGATCTCGACTGAAATGGCTGTAACTCCAAGTTGGCTTACAAGCGCAATCATGCGCAGAGATCTTTGGGAATTGAATGACCACTTCGCGTCGCCTCGTGGGATCCAAAAGGAGAACAGGAAATCGAACAAGCTGCACGTCGATGACACGGGTCACGAGCCCCCTTTTCTCTCCTCCCAGGAATAACCTCTTCCCTCTCTCTCTCACTCTCTCTTCCTCTGCCCCTTTGAAGAAGTCGCGAGCGACGGACGATAATATAACCTTGGTTATAGCGGTTTAAGATCGCATCGATCAGCCAAAGTACCAAAGGATGATGCTTCGCGGCCAAGGAACAGGATCTATGGCGGCTACTCGGACTTTGTCGACCCTGGAACTTCGCGATCCCGATCGGGCTTTATTGGCTCGATGGACGTTTAAACGGATCTCACGGTATCGTGCCACCATCCCCGATGATAGCGTATCTCCCTCGCCGCTGCTATCGGTGCCATCGCCTAACCGCGGCGTTATTGCGTTTATCCGCGACGACTTTCTTACTTTAGACTTTACTTGGCCCAGAGCGGGAGTACCGCGGCCGTAAATCAAGCAGAAGTGGTGATTACGCGAAGCACAACGGCAGCCGGCACGGCACGACAACGAGCAACCCCGGCTAACACTGTTTCCAAATCGTTCGTTAATTTTATATCACTCGTGCATGAGACGTTGCCCTTAACAATTGCGCGCCGACACGCGAACCCTATGGCAGAACAACGCTCGGTTAACGCCGGTTCCCGTCTCGCATTTCACCGCGTCGTTACCGCCGCGGCGCTCGTTCTACGCGACCAGCATATTCGATCGGGTGCCCGGCGCGTCGGACGATCGTTTAATCGAAGGATAAATCTCGGAGCGTCGCTAAATTTGCATCGCGACGCGGAAAATTCCGGCCGACGAAATGCCGGCAGGTAGCAGAGCCTCGCGACGAATTCGAAATTCTCCGAGAGTTCAGCGGCGAATCTGACGCGTGTCGCGTTCTACGCCAGACCGTCAACATCGTCGCATCGACGGATCGAGATGGCCGCGAGCGAGCAATCGTCTGACGGCCGATTACGCGCCCCTATATTTCGATCACGTAACGACGAGATGCAAATCGCGATCATCCAATTACGCGGCTCGAATCTATTTATTAATTAATATTCAAGGCGTTACGTAACGGGGATACGATCGCACCTGCATTGTCACGGCGCGGGGTACCGACCGTCTTGTCACCCTCGGTCCACGCTGTCAGGGATCCAAGACGATCGCAAATTCGAGTTGTCGTGATTAGCGCGAGGCAAAAGAGAAACTCTTTCATATCGATCTCGAGTCAGATCGCTTTTATTCGACGTTAAATCGCCAGTGGATCGCCGGATCGGTCACGCGTACGCTAAGTCTTCGATTTGAACTACTAGCGCGACGGTCGATCGCGTTCGTTGGAGCAATCTCGGATGTTAGCGTGGAATCACAGTGAACGCTGTAACATCGTCGCGGTAAAATTACGTCACCGTAAATACGCGGGATTTACTATTCCATCAAACCGAGTCGGCGATGGGAAGAGGGTACACACGGAGACAAAGCACACCATTATCCCGGTGCCGTTCCATTCCATTTCGCGTGGAATGGAAAAGCTCGGTGGAAAAATCATTCGAAGACGGGACAAGGCGAGGCCGGGTCCGTTTGAGCGCGGCGACGAGCGAGTTACGGGCGGCGCACCGCGATCGTTGAAAAATTCAGCAGCGAGCAATTATTCGAACGCGGGAAACGCGGCGCGTGGTGACGCGCGTAAACGCGATCGCGCGGCCGCCGCGGCGCGTGACGCTTGGCCCGTGTGGTTAACAAGTTATCCGTGGGGCCGGCATTGAATAATGTAGAATTTAATTTCGACCGGGTTCCCCCGTCGTCATCGAGGCAGCGGCACCGGCGTTGATTCGCGCCGTGAAACATTTAGCGGCCGTGAAATTTCCCATGCGACCGGCCGGATACGGCCCGGTTGCACGACCAGCCGGGTATTTGTCGATGGACGAGAACCATCCGGAGAACACGTCCGCTCTTTCCGCAATTCGTGCCTCGAATTTAGGACCGGCCGGGCAACGACGTGGAGAAAGGGAGAAAAAATGGGATGCCTGGTGGCCAGGGTAGTAAAGGTGGCGGTGTGGGTTGCGGGTGCAGGAGGCGAGGGTGCGGCGAGGGGTGGACGAAAAGAAAGGGAGATATAAAGTGTCGGTGAAGAGACAAGGGCAGAGGGTTGCGGGTGAGATCGGTAGCAGGCTGAAAGAGGGAACGGGAAGGGTGGAAAAACGGCAGTGAGCCGCGTTACGGATTAACGGGGCGCCTGTGCTGCAACGACGATGCACTTCCCGGATATCCGAGCGTCCGGACAGCTCGTGAGATATTCAACGGACCGAATATCCGGAGAGATTATACGATTTTCCTTTTTGTCATGGGACTCTTCCCGCACCGTGTCTATGTTTTCGTGTTTCCCTTTTTCTCCCTTTTCTTCCCGACCCTTTTGTGTCTATCTCTATCCGCCGTTCCCTATTCGCCTATTGCATCCACGCCGCGTCACCGACCATGGACACGAGAAGTTCGTGGTAACCGACACTTTTCGGCGTTGGATTCGCCTGCGACCGAGAGAGATTCGTCCCCGCGTATCGCTGGGCCACGTATGAATCATTTATCAGAGCAGGGGAAATGAGTGGCCGGGATTCGACTTTCTCGTTACCGCCATCACCCGGCCCGTTATCGTCCCTGTATAACACGGAATATTCGCATCGATAGCCCTGGCATTCGCGACGTTCTAAATTCATCGCGTCGCTCGCCGGATATCCGTATCCCTCCGACCGCGACGTGCCGGAGAAAGTGAAGCTAATTGCAACTATTCCACTTATTCGTAGCTTTGGCAATCCGTTAAGTGCCGTCTTAAATAGCATCGTTGTATTTCCGATAGAGATATCGGATCATTTCTATCCGATCCTAAAGTCTCGCGCGCGGTTCATTCCGATTTCACGCGCGAGATTAAAAACAGCGCGTTTTTCCTGCCTCTTCCCCATATTATGGTGCGAGATTGGGTGACGTCGATAAAGGATAAAGGAGTCGGAGAAACGTACCTCGTATTGTTGAATACTTCGTCCAAAGCGTGCCTCACGGTCTCCTCCGACAGTTGCGCGTAATCCAGCATTACAGCGACGCCTCTGGCCCGAGCCGCCATCGAGTTTTGATATTGATCACCGAAGAAAGGCATGAGCACCATCGGCACTCCGCTCTGGACTCCCTCCGATAATCCAAGGAGACCACCATGGCCGAAATAGCATCTAACGTTCGGATGATCTGCAAAAATTCGGGTAAAGGCTCGTTTCAGTTCGAGTCGATTCGTCCAAGGTAGTAATCGCGATGAATCGATCGGAAGGAGGACCAAATCGATTGCCGTAACCCTAACAGTCGGCCGTTAAAATCGAAATCGAGCGACGCGTTCGTAGAAATCGGTTCTCGATATCGGAAAATCGTCGCGGAGGCTCGTCCGCGTGACACGGATATTAGTCGGACCCTTTCTTGTTTCGAACAAAGGCAGAGGGACGCTATTCCGATGTCCCTATTCGCGAGATATATCCGTTAGATCCCATTCCGTCCCCCCGCGTGAAGTATGAATAATCACGGAGAAGCGGAGTTATCGATGGCGAATACGAGCGATTACGAACGTGCCGGGGCGGTATCAGCGTTTTGACTGAAATCCGTGTAATAAGGCAGAGGTGTACGAGCCCTGGAGGATCTCTCGACTTTAAAGAAATCCCGGCGCCGAATACTCGGCTGAAAAATCCCTGTCGTCCGCGTTTATCGCGAGGAGTCACCCTCTCGCAGAGGGTGGCTGCCACATCCCCGTCGCCATACAGGAGATTCCGTGCCTCCTCCGGCGTCGATCCTAATGTCAAATTCCATTACCACACCGCGCCCCCCGACCCCTTCTGCCCCGCTGCCAACCCTACGGTCCCACGACGCCCGAGCCACCCCCCCCCCCCCTCGATTTGGGTACAGATGTAGACGAGCTGTAGGAGTTACCGTTGCCTTGTGCGGAACGTAAGGGTGGCTCGGAAGGGGCGAAGGTTCGACGGGAGAGCACCTCTCGAGGTTTCGCGCTCGATACATCGTCGCATCGGCGCGCGTCGATACGTGACAGAGGATATCTATCGGGGGCTGGTCTGAATTTTTGCGGCCGACATCGGGAATGCGGCGACCGGAGACGGGGGAAAATCGGTCGGGCGTTCGCGCGATTTGCTCGAGATTTCCGTCAGCCGCGAGATACATTTTTACGGCGTCTCTGTAACGAGAAAATAACGCGACGGTATTTCCTGCACGATGCTCGCGCCGTCTTTTACGACCATCGGGGAGAGCCCACCCTCTGCGAGAATTGATATTTGGTCGTCCATGGGCGCAGAGGTGGCCGTAAGACGGAAGTAATGAGAGCGGCGAACTGTTCCTCGCGATCGGTACGCCATGCGTGTGTCTGGGGGGTGAAATCGTCCGAGAGATAAATTGGCCGATTCTCCTCGGTGGCTGTCGCGACGATAAAATTTCGAGGAATTTTTCCACGGCGAATTATTCGCCAGGGGTGACGCGAGTCGTGCTCTGTGCATATTAAACGTGTACAGGTACCGGAAAATTTATTCCCGGAATCGCGTGATTTGTTTTAATGCGATTTCCAGTTGTCCCGATTCCGACGCGATAAATTCGGCCCTGATCGATTCGAATTTCGAATTTTAACGCTATTTCGACTGCAACTCCACGACCGTTTGACCAGCCTAATCCGACAGGATCGTAAAAGTGACAAAGTGGCAAGGGTTGAAAACTGTTATAATATCCATTCCGCCTCCCGAAACAGTTTCAAAGAACCGTTATTTTCTATAACTGTTATAAAGATCCGAAATCTGTGAAGATATCGATTTCGATTACAGTTCCAGTAGCTTTTGAAATATTGGTTCTTTATCGGTTACTGGTCTGTGTAGCATGCCGTGTACGGGTATTCTCGTATGGGTTCTATTTCGGTTCTTAAATCGACGCTCTAGTATCAACACTGGATTTCTGTGTATCAACAGAACTAGTATCGCGTACTTTGAACACGATAGTGCGAGTCATTACTTTCGCGTAACCGATGTCAGTGAGTCGAGGCTGACTTTTGCCACTACGTTTCCATACGTGATAAGATTTCTTGTACATATTTTATCGCGAAATTGTTTGTCATGAAAAAATCAGGGGTTTTATTACGTTATTGAGTATTTAGAATCACGAGATCGCAAATTAATATTCAACATATTTTTTGTAGCGGATAAAACAGATACAAATACCATTTTATCGAATTATGAGGAGGAACAAGTGTCTCGTCGCGTGCAATGAAATATTTCTAAACGCAGATCTGCGTCTTTGTATTTTTAACTGAGTAGTAATACGAATAATTACTAACGCTTTAAATATTCAACGAGGATATTTCGTCTCTGCTGTATATATTGAGATAAAAGTTTCTACTTTTACCATACCGTCCGACGTTTTGAATAACTAAGGAATAAATGACAGTTACTAATTATTTATCGACGAAAAATGTGGCTATGGAATTCGCTTCTACTTGATAATTATGTAATTAAATCTGTCTATATACATCGCCGAATATCTAATCGATGTCTATACACACGGTCGTTTATGAAAAATAAGAAAAATTGACACAGAACTGTCACGAAAGTTGACGCTGTAGCGGCGTAATTGTAATTATTTCAGATTCAACGTTCGTTTTTGCTCCCTCTGTCATCATCGACGACGTGATTCACCAACTGAACCCCGGTTTGTCGAAACGCTTTCGAAGAGCCGTTATTTTCTACAACAGTCGTAAAACACCGAAACCTGTGACGACATTGATTTTTCCCACGGTCCCAGAATCGTTTAAAATATCTGTCATATCGACTGAATTTGGTTGCAACATTTATAACATCATTTCCGTCCCTCGTAACTATTTCAGAAGCAAGCTTCGTGTGACACTTATTAACGTACTACTATTTAATTATGAAAAGCTACAAATTCGAAAAACATTTAATTTTAATTCGACCTTACATATTTATTTCCCTCGCGATAAAATCACAAATTCTCTTAGGGTCTATGCAAATTTGCACGTTTTAAGATTTAAAAATATCATTCTGATCGACATGCGCTGCTCGTTTCCGCGCGATTTCCTCTGAGAAATCCATAACGAGCTAGATTCGACGGTACAGCGGATTAACGACTATTCCTGGGACAATTTGTACTTCCGCGAAGAATACCCTATTCCTTAATGGATAGCCGGAGAAATAAAGTGAACCTCGCTAGAATGATTTCACTCTTTACCCCTCGAGGTAATGTAATCCATCGTTTCATCCCTACCGCTATATCGTTAAACGCGATACTCGGGGGCATTGCGTGTCAACATCCCCGTACCATCGATATCGTAGCCTCTAAAGTCAATTACATTAGCGAGTTCCATGCGAATTGACAAGATCGATCGCAAACACTGCGCGAAACTGTTCCACGATCTAGAACAGCCTCAGCGTCGAGCAATCGAGCGATCCAGGATCTTGTTTATTCCCACAATCTCCACCGTGCAAACTACCGAAAAGTCGAAGAAACTATCGAACTCGCGGGTGCAAAGTTCCCTCTCGGAAATTTCTCCGAAATATAGCTGAATTTGCACGATACTCGAGCCCGATAATACTCCTATCTGCCGTTACAAAGTTGCCCGATAAAAGTGTATCGTGGTCAAACGGGGAGGTTACACGGGGCCAATTAAAGGACAAGGATTAACGATTTCCACGGTTTTATAAGAACGACCCTTGAGGTAAGTTACGACCGGGCTCGAGCACCATTTCGCGTGCACCGCTTAAAGCGTGCGAAGTAGCAGGAGCAAAGCGTAGCCGCAGATCTTATCGAGATCACGAAGACCGAGGGGATAGCCACGGCGAGGAGAAGGAAGCGGCACCGGGATACACCGGTCACGAAGCGAGATAATAAAATTAAAGCGATCGATTCCAGCCTCCGACCGAGTTGCCGCTAGTTTTAGCTAGATTATCCGACCACCGGGGCTGCTCGCGTGAATCCAATCCGCCACGAAAAACCCGATCGTCACAGCCTTATCCTCCATATTTCTGCGAAAAACAGGCATCCGCGCTGCAAACGGCGAATCAGCCGCGAGCTGACCGCAGCGGGGAAATAGTCTCGGCGGTGTGCGGTCCCATAGCGTTATGCAAGAATTGCGTAACGAGAGAGTGACACGATTTATGTAAAAGCGGATTCCAAAGTATTTCAAACGGAATAATAAACACGCGAGGCGAAGGGTACGCTGGTTTAAAGAGCGCGGAGGTATGAAAGAGAAATATTTGGACCGACCGGATCAGAGCGAGCGATGGGAAATAAACGGGGTCGAAAATTGCCAAGAAACGAAGAAACGAAGAAACGAAGAAATAAAAATCGGCTAACCTCATTCAAAAATTCACGTTGTACGAACACCTGGAATGATAACGATATGGAGGAAAGCGATATCTATTTGTACAGCTTATAGCTAAGAAGTAGAGTATAAGTCATTGAATTAGTTAACATTTTGCAGGTTTGTAGATTTAGTCATCTGGTTCAAGAAAATCTACCACTATAAGGGCAACTACTCGATAGTTTTTGAGATATTTATGATTGAGGTTTCTTCCAAATAGTTATCGATAGCTATCAAGTGGCATTGTGGCCTGACGGCAACGTTTGAAAATTGCCAGCAGCGTGAGAATTTTCGGATATCGACATTAGGTTGCAATGACACTTGATAAATATTCGAAATAAATCTGTAATTAAAGCAATAATAATGATACGTTTTCTTGAACTGGATGACTAAATCTGGAAAGTTTCAACTAAATCTATGACCCGAAGGACTCTCTTGCACTCTCCTTGTAAACGGATGTGTAGCTTGGCCGTTCCTAGGATTCTAGGAAAATCCTGAAAAACCTGCGTGAGTGTCTCAAAACATCCAGAATAGCTCGTAAAGTTTAAACCTGGCCCAGTTACTACATAATATCAGCGATAATTACAGGCAATATTTACCTTAGATGTTCTAACGTCATAGCTAATGTAATACAAACGTTCAGCCTTTATTCGAAGAAGCCAATAATTGGTCTGGTAAAAAAGAGGCATAAATGAAGCTTCGCAATCCGTGTCGACATCACGAATACTATCATACGACAACTGGTTGATCTAACCTGCAAATTCGCCGGGAGCAACGAGTCTTGCGAAGCCAAGAGGAGAATGAGCTAGCAAATTGACCGATCACCGTGTATGCGCGTGTTACTTCGTCACGCGAAGGAAAAAGCCCGATGTACTGCGTATAATTCGCAAAATCGGACGCGCCTGACGTAATCGTTCTTCCGCAAAGCGGCGAACAGGTCATTAAAAGAGACTCGTAGCGTAGAAAGGACGCATCTGTCGCGGAAGATTATTCGACAGAGTATGACGGATGTAATTCCACTCGAGGAGGAATTTCGTAATCGAGCAACGAGAACAGACGTGTGGTTTGCTCTGGGATACGAGTGCACACACGTGCGTGTGTGCGGAATCCGATAGAAATCGATGCCGCGAGGCTGACCGCGTCAGGTAGCCAAGTTACTGCCAGAGGCACCCGTCAGAGGGTAGAAGAACCGACAGAAACAACGCGACACTGAGGTCTCCTTCGCTGCAGGTTTTAACGGTGATTTATGTTGCCAGCAGGTCGTTAGCGAGTTGCCTAATTAAAGTCATTTCACTCGACAGCGGCCGAGAGCTGCGAAACTACTTACTGTCGGAGAGTTCCCGTGGTCCCGGGTCTAGTCCTTGCCCAGGCAACTCGTCGAAAGAACATCCTTGCCACGACCAACCGTATTCGAGACTGGTTGTCCCTCGAACGAGAGCCACCGCGGTTCCAGGAAGAAGCTACGCGTCTAAACCTGACCGTTGTTTGACCTTCGAGGGGATTAGTACCATTTTCTCTCAGACACTCGATTCCCTGGATCACGTGGATCGGTAGTGCTTGTTCGCGCGTGGTAAACGCGAAAAAGCCGGGCCACTGAGACGATTCGGGAACGGAAATGTTCGCCCTTGACAACGTTTCAACAGCTTCCTTGGATTACGATAATGGATGGGTAGCGTGGAAGGTAAACGCAGCTGGTAAAATGTTTCGCGAAACGTTGCGTATCACGAGGAACCGATAATTGCCAGAGAGAACGTTATATCGAGAGGTAATGACGATTAATCGAATACAGAGGATCGATCGGAAGCGTATCGCCGAGGCAACGGAGCACACAGGCGGCCGAAATAATTTGCCGATCGAAAAATAATTCGATGTTCGATGATCAACGAGGTCGCATTTATGCTGGCATCGCGTATGAGCATGAACGGGGCGATATCGTTTCGAGGCCAATGAAAGCTCCTCGGCTATGCAAACCGTTTTGAAAGTTTCAAAACTGTTTGACGTTCGGCATCGCGCCGCCATTGCAAATATCGGCGCGCAGTCCGAGCCGAAATCCGCTTTCGATATTTCGCTGCGATTTCCAAGGGCCGTTTCGATTAGTTCCATGTAACGGCCGAATTTCAATTTCGATACGGAGTACCGATCCATTTCTCGCGCCGTGTCGTTCCGATCCGTACAACCGCCGGCAAACCGATCCGCAAACGATCGACCTGCCTATGCTCGACACACCGAGGCCCCCCAACGGTATGCCAATGAGGTCGTAGTCCGAGAGGAGAGAGAGAGACGAGTAACGGAGCAAACAAAGGGACCAAAGGAGAGACAGTTTCGTGATAAATACGGATAAAAGAACAGACTTCGCTTGATCTCACGCGCGTTATTCGCGATGGATCAAGTTTCGTCCCGTGACTTGCGGTACTCTAAGTGGAGCAGCTGGTTTCGAGTGGTTCAAAACCTCTTCGACAGTGCTCCGAAGATAAATCGACTTCGCAACTATCGTATTAGATAACGACTTAAACGTCGGGCTTATGGCATTTTTAGAACAGCCTGTCCGATTTTCGACTCGTACAATTATTCGTACAGCGACGATACCGCGGAACGAGATGCAAATGAAAATTGACATAGGTGGACAGGTCTGAAGGGAAGTAGCTTCGCGATTTGCAATTCATTAGCATGATTCAACTGATACGTTCCCGGAAAAAAACACCTGCGAATAATCCCCCTCGGGGCAAGTCCCGGATTTTAATACGATGCACGATGAATCATTGTTTACCTCGCTCGACGACGACCTGCTTCCACGTAGTTATCTAATAGCAAAACGTCGCGAAGGTTTAACTGATAACGAGCGTATCGCGCAGAAGTTCACTTTGTGCGGCAGCGACGCTAAAAGACCGGATAAACGTCCCTTCTGGCAAAAGGAGCCTCTCATTTTGTTGATGCGTTTCGCCCCGTCTCGAAGATTAGGAGCGAAATTAAAGCTTAACGATGTAATGAAATGGATTCGACGAAAGCCTCGAGGCGAGTTCAACGTGTCGTGGCGTAATCTATTCTTTTTACAGAAATGACGACGAGATGGGAGAGAAATGACAGAGATACCGCGTTAATCGTGTATTTCTGTTGAATCACTCGGCTCCGAGTAAAGAGTTATCAAAACCGAAAGAGGAGTATCAACACTGGATTTCTGTGTATCAACAGAACTAGTATCGCGTACTTTGAACACGATAGTGCGAGTCATTACTTTCGCGTAACCGATGTCAGTGAGTCGAGGCTGACTTTTGCCACTACGTTATCACGCAATAGATCGCCCCGAGCATAGCAATAGTGCTCGAGGTGTCAATTCGAAAGCATTAGACGCGTTCGCATCGTCTGTGACCCTCTTTCCGACTGGCGAAGTCGCGAACTCAACTTCATCCATGACCCCCTTTCTAGTTAATATAAACCGTTGACATAAATTCTCCAATTTCGAATTCCGTTTCTAATTGCCGCTGACAAAATTTCAAACCACGGTTACCCATAAGCCCGACATTTTTAAATAAATTTTATCACTTTTATTCCGGCCTCAGTAACGGAAATAGAGGTATGACCGTTGATAAAGTTATCGATAGCGTCGTTCAGATATCATAACTTATTTCATTTTCACAATGTTTTCAAAATGTACAAATTTCTATCGAAACGTATCGTTTCAACGAATCCAATAACGCAGTTTGACGATAATTTTGTCTATCGCGAAGCATTAACGTACGTACGTTGCAATTGCGTATCACGAGTAAACGTAAACATGTAAAATGAATATATCTCTTTTTCGAATTATATCGTCGAACAATGTTTGAATTTTTTGTTTCTATTTAATCAACGCAAACTTATATTCGATATTTGAACATTTTTTTTACAAAAGTTCAACAAGCTCTGTGGAGCAAAAAAAAAAAACAGGGCTACAAATAAACATAGAAAAATATATCGTTTGCGGTATGTTTCGACAAAAATGAATTTTTCAACGCTCATGTTCCAATTTCAATCAATCCTCGATTGAACGATATTTCAACGATCAATCGAGGCCTCTACGCAGAAATCTGCGATTCCCGAATTTCTTTATTTTAATACGTTTCCGGATACCGAAAGAGCGAAAAGATTATTGACAGTGAATACAGAACGAAGAATGGCAGAACGTATATGGTACTCACTCAATATGTCATACTGAGGCAGCCATTTAAGGATGAAGATGTTGCTGGGTAAATCCGGCATGTCATCCGCTTCCCACTTCCAGATCACTTTTCTAGGAATGGAACCGAGCACCTTGAGCAACACGTCCAGCTTGTCCTTCGGCATAGAGGACGTTTTCACCATAGAGCCTAGATTGAAGTACAGGACACCCTCGTGGGCTTCGTCGAGGAATTTCGCGATGTTCTTTGGCAAGGGTTTCACACTCGGCGGAATGTGGAGGCCACCGATCTCGATTACGTTTTGCTGGTACGACGTGGACCCGTGAATGGTGTAGTGGGTGTTGACGAATATGAGCGACGCGTTATTACTGATCGACTGAAGGTCAGGAGTACCTGGACCGTAATTTTTCTCTATCAGAGAGCGATCGCGCCAATCGAAGAAGGTGTGGAACATCGCCGACATGAACCACGTTGCTGCCAGGTTGCTCATTCTCTCGAACAAGTTCATAGGCTTTGGTAAACGCGTGAGCAACGCCGGTACGTAACTAGTCTCTTGAGAGAGTCCCAGTTCGTCGATCACCCATGGCATCAGCTGGTGAGTCGAGATTTGTATAAAAGGCGCGTTGATCCTGTACACGAGTCCCATGAAACAATTGGTATTGAAGCTCTCTGTGAGCAGCACGTCGAACTTCTGCCCTGAGGCAAGCAGCTGCTTCACGGCTGCGTTCTGCAAGCCGATTGTACAGGATATGTTGGACATGAAGTACAGCATGTACATGTTTTTGAATATTCGGGTGTAGGAGTTGTCGATCAAGTTCAGATCGACTACGTTAACGAACACGCCGAGATTTTCGTCCACCAGGCTAATGTCCTTGTACGTGGGCAGCGGTTCCGCCGCGATCGCCTTCTCGGTTCTCGGGAAATGGGAGATCACCGTCACCCCATGACCTCGACGCGCTAATTCCTCGACAAGCGGCTTGAACACGTCGAAGTGACTCTTACCGGGGTGACCGAAGATGGCCAAGATTTTCAATTGTTTCCTCAGCGGAGCGGAATTGGTAGCGCCTGAGCAGGTAGATGCCAGGAACACCAGGAGAAACAGAAGGATGGCTCGAGTTTTGGTAATCCACATGATTAAGCGTTTGTCTCTCGCCAGCTTTCTTCCTCTTCGGAAGATAATCGGTACTCTGCCAGGCCACGATTCCAGAACGGGCTATTTATCTCTGGTCTTCCCCCGTCGCTCGGACCACGGAAAAACAAGCGCCGCTGGGATAGCGCTATCTTTTTAATGCCAATTCCAATCCGTCAGCGACCTCAAACCTGGAATAAAAATTGCCACATGTAAAACTTAGGTTTTAATTGCCGTGATAAATGCAGAAATATCTCTAGCAGTTATACGTTCTCTAACACGCATATCTCATTCTCCATGAATCGCGCAAAATCGCTGATATTCGTGACATTTCGCTACCCTGCTTTGGTATCGATGACTAGAATCGAATGATCGGCGAGTGTCCGGTAAACGTGCGACAAATCGTTTCGCAACGATCCGGTATCGGCACGATAAGAAACGATCGAGCGAGCTAGGACAACTGATGTCGCGTGTGGTTCATACGCGCCTGACGTTTACGTAATAGATCAAGCCCGTGGCGCGATCTGTAACGGCGATTCGCTATTCCGGGCTTAGAAGCTTAAAAGAGTTGGTAGCACCGCGGCTCTCGATAGTGTTTGCATCGAACAAACGGTGGCGTGCGTGTTCGCCAACGTTTTCCGGTTACACGATCACCACTGGCGGCGTACTCGTGTAAACGCGATAAGAATTTCGAGCCTAGAACAAACTTTCAAAGATTTACAGCGCTAGGCGGAAACGGTTGACAAACGTTCGAGAGGGCGAACAACGCAAACAGTTACAAATGAAACAATTTGGACAACGAAACGCGCAGTGCCGTATCACTCGACGAGGATGACTTGCTACAATTTCGTTTAACAGTTTATTACGTCCGGTTGTAGGAAAGTGCTTCGTCAGTCCGTGACAATGCCGTGGACATATTGACAGATAATAGCGTGCTCCCGTATCGGAAGAAATTAAAAAATAAGTAAGCAACTACGCGATATGTCGCAACACGCTGTAACCACGCGATAGTTTTATCGATGCGTACGCGTCCGAGACAAATAATTTATGCGACTAATACCTTCGGACCCTGTTAATCGTACAGTCACTGACAGACACGTACATACGCGAAACTTGATATTTCGTCTGCGACCAATCTACTCGTCCGACTCTCCTCGACGATTGATTAATACTGGCAGTAGTCGGACGTAACACGTTCCGCTTACGGGATATTTATAGAAACAGACATTGCACGCCAACCGAAAAGCATCACTGACAATTGGGAGCGTCGCAGCGGGCCACGGGCCACAAAACTGGCCACGTGTTACCCCCGTTCCGAGCACGCCGGTACCCGTACACCCGCGTGCAAATATAAACAATTAACTGGCGCAGAAACGCTAAAAGCTCGCGCCGTTCTTAAGCATTTTCCCCTGCAATTTCATCCCGTTCGTCCCACCGCAGCGGCTATCCGGTCTCGTTTGCTCTCCGTTCGCGACGCGAATAAATTCGCTGGAACGCGGAACAACAGGTAGAGGCTCGTTAAAATGTACGTCGTGGCTGATGGTTTTATTAAATTAACGACGAACGGTTTCTTCGTCGATTCGATTTAAAAGCGGCCAACAACACGCGCGCTGGCCGTAGTCGTGGGGCAAAGTGAAGCACGCGAAGGCAGAGGAGACTCGATTCCCTTGATCCAACGGCCTTCTCTATGCCACGTCTCCCTGTACTTTTATTTTTTCCCCGCTTCTACGGCCCCCTCGTCCCGCCGTATTACCTAGTAACGGCACTTTAGTTAATTACCTCGCAGCACGGCGGAACCAGCCCCTCCGATGTCCGCCCACCCTTTATGCATATCCCTCTTTATTTCCTTTTTCCTTCGAGTGGTTTTCGATACTCTTCACTTTGTACTGTCCCCGATAATTCCGCTCCGCGGAGCACGATTCCAGACAGGTAAATACGGGCAAAGACGAACGAAAAATGTATATATTTATATATGTATAGATTTATATACGCTTAGATCGTCTCCGGCGTTCCCAAAAACTTTCCACCTCCTCCACCCTCTTCGCCCGCTGTCGTCCTGCTTCCTTTAATTTTCCATTCGTCGACCCACTTTTCCGCCTTCTTTGTTCCGTCCTCCCGATGTAAAGTAAACACCTTCGATGCTACACGGTTCATCGACAATCGGTCCAACGTTTGTGTAACCGTCGCAAACTCGCGACTCGAAGAAATGTCTCGAAATGGAAACGTTTCGAATCACAAGGATACCCTTCCGTCTCGTCGCCAATTTGCCCTTCTTCCGTATTTCGAGCTCGTTCGCGAGTATTCGTCGCGACGGCGGGACATACATTTCCGACTTCGCGCACCCCCGATGACCATAATTCCTCGTCCGTTCGAGACGTTCCGCGTTCGCAAATCGCAATTCGCGCCGCTATTCCAAAGATAGAAGAACACCGACGACGTGATCGATGTTGGGGACGATTAGCCGGAACGATGGACGAGAAACGCACGCTGCACGCCAGCTGATTCCGCTGCTGGAAATTCGCTGACGCCTGTGGTGACGCGAGATCGCGGGCGAAATCGCGCACCACCCCCGAGAACCAGGCCACGTACCGGCAAACTCGACAAAATATTCCGCGGATGCCGAAATTCGCGTATCGAAACGACTTTTATCATTTAGAAGAGCGG